CCTCTCTCGTCCCAGTCCAGTGACTTCATCACCCATTGCAAGGCCGCGGTGAACAGCTTCGGCGAAACAGTATCGCCTTGTCGAACCCCCTTCCCAATTGGAATGGTTAGGGGACGACGGGATAGCTGCATCGTTGTTGTACAGTTCTTGTATCGGCTAGTGTCCTCACGTAAGCTGGGTCCACTCCTTGATCACTAGCGCTGACAGAATGGCATTCGTTTCGACTCTGTCGAAGGCTTCCTCATAGACGATGAAGGAGGACGAGAGGCAGTCGGTTTCCCGGCAGACTTCTATGACTCTCGAAACCGTCTGGATGTAGTCCATGCAGCTGAATCCTTTGCGAAATCCAGCTTGTTCTTGGGGTTGGGCTTCATCTAGTGTCCTAGATATGCGAGCGAGGATAATCTTCGTGAAAAGTTTGTAAAGCACACTCAGCAGGCATATTGAACGGGAGTTCCGAAAATCCTCCCGTCCGCCCTTCTTGAAGAGAAAGACGGTTCTTGATGTTTTCCACTGATCGAGAATCTTCCCCTTCTGAAGGTGGGGATGAAAATGCGACGCTAGGACCTCGTGTAGAAGGGTGTCCTCCGGCTCGCAGAAGTTCGGCGGAAAGGTGATCTGGTTCTGGAGCCGTGGACGTCTTCATGGTTTGAATCGCCGTGCGCACTTCAGCAAGTAGAATTCGTGGTGGTACTTCTCCAGTGGGAACAACGGGCATCGACACGGTGTTTAAGCGGAAGAGGTCGGTGTAGAAGTTCTTCGCGATAGATTCCATCTTGTACCGGGAAGAAGTCGGAGTTCCGTCTTCGTGCAAATAGTGCAGCCAGAGGTACGTGATATTCACAGAGTTCCCTTCGGCACTTCTTGAGACTTCGTCTTCCTTCGGCTGCTTCCAGTATCTTGCTTGCCTGTACTTCCTGAGATCCTTTTGCAAAGACGTTCTGCAACTGGCGTTGGCTATCAGTCGCTCGAGATGGGTTGCATTCGGATCCTGCCTCGGAAAACTTCTTTTTTAAGCAAACCCTTGATGGTCTTCGAAATGCGTTCCAAATTCTTTCTCTTAGGCACACTCTCCGCAGCCTCGCAATCCTTTCAGAAGCCGGTCGTAGTCGTACGTTGGATCCTCCTCGATGGGCCAGTCACAACTTGATATGAGCTCTTCTAACCTTTACCGTCATAAACGACGTCTTTTCTTTTTGAGGCGCTGTGGCAGATCTTCTTTTCCAACTTTCGACTGAATCTATCTTCTCTCGAAGGAGATGGTGACTGGAGCCACTGCAGAAGTTTGGAACTACTGAGACATCAAGCAAGCTCCACCTTGTTTGGTGAGAATGTGGTCGATCTCCGCGTGCGTTCCCTTGGGCGATTTTCAAGTCCACCGGCGATGTTCTTTCTTTATGAAGATGGATTTTTCATGGAAAAGTCGTGCGGCGGAGAGAAGCCCAACGAGACGGTTGCCGTTTTCATTTTGGAGCCCATATCCAAACTTCCCGATCCTATATTCCTCTTCTAGTGACATCCCAATTTTCGCATTGAAGTCGCCTTGTAGAAGGACTTCTCGTTGCGGACGACCTGCTACACGTCTTCGTAGAAAGCATCTAATTCTGAATCGTCAGCTGCTGATTTTGATGAGGCAGTTGATGATGCTGATGGTCTTCTGACGTGAAGGTCTTAGTCGGAGGATGGCTCGAGGTGACAGCATCTCATGCAAATCGACAAGATGGACGGTAGATGGGTGGACGACAAAAGCAACGCCTTCAACGTTTCGTGATGGAATTTTTTCATCACGATTAATGAACGTCCCATCACTCATCTGTCTTTCTTCCTGGACTTCGTTTCCTCAGCGATGATGTGGTACTTGATGTGCTCTGCAGCGTCGAGAAGAGCGTGGAGGTCTGCGTTTGTGGAGACTGTCCTGGCGTTGTAGGTGCAGAGGATGAGGCAGTCTCCATGGCGTGTCGTCCGGGCAGACGTGTCGTTTTTGTCCAATCCGAAAGGCGCCCTGAGTACCCTGACAAAGTTTTTGCTACGACCTAGCGCCGTAGGCGTGATTCGATGTGCAGGATTTTTTCTTCTCTTTGCTGAACGAGTAATGAAAATTTGTTTTCGGAGCACGATTTTTTGAAAATTCGGCAAGTAAACCTGGCTTCACTTCATTTTCGCATCAAGAAAATTTTTTTTTGAGAAAACAGAATTGACCTTCCAATATTCTTCTTGATTTATTCTTTTCAATGGTACCACACATTTATACATAAATTTATCTGTGACATTTCATAAACCATTATAAAGACAAAATTATTTTTAGTCATTCGATGAGCTGTAAACGACAATGCATCAGATTATTAGGGTAGTAATTTCGCACTTTCTGATCGAGCGCCACATTCTCCAAGATGAGTATTTGTAGACAGTCTTGGTACAGTATAAACGCTGCTTTACCTCCATCTAAGGTTTCCTTTTCGAATTGAAATTTTAAACACTTTCTAGGATTCTTTTGAGGAGCAGGTATAAAACTTTAGGGAAATCAAGACAGGACCTCGTCAAAAAACATAGATTGTAGTGAACATACAAAAAACACAGTTTCTAGTGATATCTTGATCAAACTATGATGGATATCAACCATGCCAGAAAGGAAGAAGACTTCTGCAAATTCATACAAAGCTTTCATGAGTCTGTTCTCCGGGATGTCGCGCTGGTTTGAAAAAACGAACTTATTTCTGGAACATTGCAAACATTGCAATCTGCAATATATGAATATAGGCAACGACAATGAAACAGGGCTCGGCACAGCTGGCTTGCAAAGCAAGCTGGATATCGTTTTTGGGGGAAAAAGCAAAGGGGAGATCGTTTTTGTGAAAGAGCATAACGCTGTCATTCGATCTGCTGCCGGCACGTTACCGGCATGCCGCCAGCAAATAAACAAAGAGTTTGTCTACAGCGAAGTGAAGATGAAATGGCACCAAAATAGGTGTGTAGATGGGCAATGGAGAGTTGGGACTATGTATGAAAAATTGTGAAAAAATTATGTGAACTAAGAGCATGGCAAACTTTTTTCGGGGTTAAGTGGCTTTCAAGCCACCTGGATAGCCACCTGAGGTGGCTTAGCGCAAACGTCATATATTTCCTATTCTTCACATAATTTTTTCAAATTTTTTTTTACATAAAAGTAATCTACATCTAACATTCTACAAAAAGCTCTTGAACCTCCCCAAACCCTCTCCTCTTCGCCTAGTTACAGCCCTCCAAATTACCTGGTGGCAGCGGCAAAGCTGCTCTAAGCTCGCGGTTGTGCGCGGCGGACACGGCATGCCGCCAACCCGGAGAATACAAACAACTACTAGTTCTTATTGCCTAATTATTGTCGATCTTGTATATTGTTTCATTCTTTTTGTTTTCGTGTTTGATTTGTTCGTTAGCGTGTCAAGGGGGATATCGTGCTTTTTGTGGCGAAGTCAAGGGGGACTTCGTTTTTTGCATTTTCAACTAGCCACCTCGTGCCGAGCCCTGCAATGAAATTCGCTTTCAACTCAGTATTCATTTTCTCTCTTCATCGCTGATGTGATTTGATCAAGCTGTGCTTGCATATCCATGGAAAATCTGCGTTTACAATTATTTGCCATTTTATCTCCAACAAGTGACTACGCAATAGTACCGCGTGTTTGTCATCTTCCCCTTGTCAGGATCTTTCGAAGTAGAAAGGATAAGACTGTAACCCATGGTAGTCTCTCAAAGTAAATCCAAAAACAAGTTTGTTGAAATTTGGTAGTTCAAGAAGATGCGGAATATTCTGATTTGAAATCTCTGTCATAGACAACTACTTGGGTAAAAAGGTGTTAAATGCAAGAAAATAGAAGTTTGAAAATGCTCAAACGACAAAATACCTTTCTTGAAGACGACAAGTGAGTGAGTTTCTATTTTAGTGCATGCGCAACACTACGCTATTCTCGATGGTTGTCATTCTCTTTTTATCAGAATTTCTGGAAAAGAGATGTCTAGATTTCTGCAACCAATGCGAGTCTCGCAAACTCAATCAAAAGACCTAAATTTGTGAAAACTTAAAGGCAGCGGCCAGAATGACAACTTTGAGATGTTCATCGTTATCGGCTCCCCTCGATGAGCTAAGTCCAAGACTGTGCTTTGCAGCTTCAAAAGATATCAATAACCCGCTTTTCCAGAAGTTAAAAGTGCTGATTGGGAGGACAGCGTATGCCTGCCCTCGAGCGCGATTGGCTCATGGGTAAGGTAGGTACATTGTCTCCACTCACAAGCCAATCGCGCTCTAGAGAGCAGGATAACGGTCTGCCCGCATAGCACTTTTTAGTCTGGAAAAGCAGGTTTTTGATATTTTTTAGAGCTCCAAAGCACAGTGTTAGACTTAGCTCGTCCAGAACGATGAATATCCAAAGTTGTTCATTCCGCCGAGCCGCTGCCTTTGATTTCCACTTAAGCAAGTATCAGCAGTATCATAACCGAACCTTGTTCAAAAAAGAAATCCCTTCTCAATAATCCTTGTTATTCTTACCTAGTGTGCTTGAGATAGAGAAAAATATGCTTTGCAGATACTTGAACTGCTGACACAGGTGGTTTATACAAAACTCGTGAACCATTAATGATTGCTGATGAGCTTTTCTAATTCTTGCAAGTTATAGGTGACGGTAGTTAGATTGAAACAATACGATTAGTGAAGAGTAAGGGTGAGTTGAGGATATACTCTAATATTCTCTTTACCTTACCCGCGCTGCAACTCGGCCTTATGTTATTTCCTTGACTTCTAAATCACTAGTCATTACTCTAATTTACTGCACAATGAAGATAGTCAACAAGTGGCGCAATAAGTGGGCCTCTGAGGAGCGGATGCTAGAACCCTCTTGAATGAAATGCTGGTGCCAACCATGGTGCGAGGAAAGGTAGGAATTTTAGCGCGCCTCCTGATGACACTTAGGCTGCTTCAAAGCATTGTCTCTATAAACTTGCGAGACGTATTTTACGAACACAAGCCTTACTCGTTTTCAACCATTTCAGAGTAGTGTCGCCTTCTCGAGACGTGAGCCATATGGGTACATCCCATTTGTACCTGAAAGTAACGATAAGCAAGTCGCCTAGCAAATCAGGTCGTTAAGCACTCTTGACGGTGGAAGCGATATTTCTCATGCTCCTGAACTGACGTATTCAAGAAGTAGTGTTGCTGTCTTATCTCTAATTTGGTACCTAGAGTTCTTGCAGTCACCAGTGGAAAGCCCATCTTAAAAAAATATCTGAGTAAAGAATGACGACACCCGCTTACCATCTTTGTCCACTGCGTCCCAAAGTTCGATACATCTAAAGCTGATTCATTTGGTCCTTCAACTTCATCCATGACCTCAGATATTGCTTGAAACAGGTTCTCACTCTTGGTGCATTTGTAGGCAAACTTTTTCAGATAGTTCTAAACAAAGCCTTCATATGGGGGTTTTTATGGTATGCACTGAATTCTAAGTTTTTATGATGTAGATTTCTCAAATTAAAATGCATTTACAAAAAACTTGTGAAATACAAAGAAGAAAGTTACCCCGAATAAAGCTTTTGATCTTCGAACTCAATAGAGTGCAAAGTAGTCACGCTTATATAATAGTGATAACGCCTAATAATTAATAATACTTCATTCTAGTTAATGGACGGGCACTGTACTACGCCACTCCTCTGTGTGTGATTTTTGAGTCAGGCCCTAAGGCCCGGCACGAGTCGGTTTTGAGGCTTTTCGAAAAGAAGTCACCACCGACTCTCGAAAATCTCACGAAGTCCCCTTTGACCTTAATTTTACAAAGTCCCCTTTGACCTGCTCTGCTCGAATTCAATTTTTCTCCAATGTTAAAAAATCTCGCTTGAGAGCAAACAGTGTTTTGGACAACGTGATCCTCTTTCCGCCCAACTTTTGAGAAAGTTTTCAAAAATCTCGCTTTTGAGAGCATCTGCTCTGTTTGAATTTGATTACTCTCTCCGAAATGTGAGCTTGAGTGCGAGAATGACATCGTGGAAGGAATGACATGTGTACGATGACCTTCAGAGCAAAACACTATTTTATTCCTCTTTCCGCCCAAATTTTGAAAAATCTCCAAAAACCTAGCGACTTAGGAGAAGTTGACAACGAAAGAGAACCATAAGTCTGAAAGAAAAACCTGGAATAAGAGGCAAGAGTTTGGCTTGGAGCGCGATATCTAACAAAGCGATACGAGGAAATCAATCCAAAAACAAAAACAAGGAAAGGCAGCGATATGAAAATGTCTTTATGCTCTGAAACAGATTCTTGGCTGTGGAAGCCGTCCATGATAGAAAAATCCGGAACATAAGTGAACTCACAGAAGAAAAAAGTGTTACTTCACATAAATTTTGAACCTTTTACATAATTCTTTCTCAGCTAACATCATATGCATATAGTCCGAAGTTGGTGTCATAGCACTGTGTTTTGGTTGTAAACAAAACCTCAAATTGTTTGGGGAACAATTTTGAAAACCCGCACTGCTGCCGGCTTGCCGTCAGCAGGCGAAAGCGTGCCAGCAGCATGCTAGCAAACTGCGTCATGTTGACAACTAAGGAGCGGGGTGCCGGCAGCGTACCGGTAGCGTGTCGCTAGCATGCCAAACTGCTAAAACGGTTCCTCGTTACTTTTTTTCCTCGAGAGCGATGTCCAGCCTGCCGGGCTCTGACAGGCATATGTTCCTCGAATCATTTAAAAAAACTCCAGTACATTCTGACAGCAAGAATTGCATCGTGCCACTATGCAACAACGAAACATACAAGATTTCAGTAGTATGCACCTACATAGGCAATTCTATACCACAGATTCATTAGAGTACAAGCATGGAGTCAGCCTTCTATATGCGCTTTTTCCAAAAATTCAAACTAAGCGCAAAAAACATATAGTTCGACATTTTCGTTTTTTCAGCCGGTTTTGCCAATCTTAGCCATGGAGAAAACAGAAGTGCAACTACTTTAATCCCTAGCCTTTGTATGCGTGAACATATTAGAGCCGCATAGTTGTTCCCTAAACGGAAATTCGACTTTGTTATTCATGTTCCAGTTTTTGGCTGCACGTAGCACGCCTATAAAAATTTTGTTAACACTCCATGGACCATCTTTTAGAGCTTACATTATCATACAGTGACTTAATTGTGAAGTTTAGTGCTGAAAATCAGAATTTGTCTATGAAAAACCTATAAGGCAAATATTAGAAAGAATGTGATAGGCGAAAAACGCACCGACAGTCCTCTTCTAAAATTCTTATTTCCTATTACTGCACGTAGCATTGCAATAATTGCAGCACCTTTCTTGTAGCTGATAGTGTCAAAAGATGCACGAATTTCGTGAAATTCATGTATTGTGGATGAGATAGGTCGACTTCTGACTGACGCGTCCACTTGCATGGCCCGTTCAGTTCCCAAAAGGAACTCATTGTAATCCTAAAAAATGTCATACAAGGAAACGGCCAGAATCAAAGTGGCCATTTCCAAATGCATCTGAGGAATGCAGTGTGAAACATTGATTTCTAACCTATTCTTCTTCGTGAATTACTCGACAAACTTATGAGCCATTATATTGCAGAAAAATTTTATATGGGCAGTGCAAATCTGGACATATAGATGCATGCTAGGTTTATTGCTGACACTACAACATACTGCTGCCTCTGGATGAGCAAAACAGGCGTTCTGATTTCCAAATTTTCCAATTCGTATGCGCAATTTCCTTGCAATAGCTACTCATATCCTTAATCACAAAGAATTTTAGGCAGATCGGAATATACGAAAGACAGATTCGAAGACGGTTATGTTGTACCCAATAGCACGCGTTTGGGTGGCCACTTCAACTTTTGACTAATCCCTTGTCATTTATGATCTTGCAGCGAAACCAATATCTCGCTTACGGTAGAATAAGGCCTTGATGTTTAGGGTCGATACCCAGCCGTATTCGGACTGATTGCAGAACGCGCAACTCAGATTCTCAGGCACAAACAGTATTAGAGCATTTCCCGCGCGTACTCCACTGCTTTGATGCATGCTACAGTGATCCACAGAATCTCCGAGACCTTGTTTTTTCAGGTTGAAGTTTTGCAACTGCTTCCATAATCCATTTCTTTCTCAAAGTGGAGTACTCATTGACTCACATTATATGCATTGTCATGAGTGATACAGATGCACGGTTACGAAGAAAACAAGTGTTGCAAATTTTCTTGAGGATACCAGATGTTTTCAACTTCTAGTTTAACTTTGTCGAGTATAGAGAGGCTATTCTAATGTGTCCGCCGTTCCGGCTCTATGTATTAAGTTGAAGCAAACATAGCCGTTTTGCGAATTCTCCCCTTCACTTGCCATACCTTTTCGAAAAATCCACATTCGCAAGCCTTTTTCAATACAGCGCACATTTACCTGCACCAGTTTCATAAACTGGCATAATTATGGATTGTAAAACAAAAAAGTTCTTTTCAAAATCTCGTCTTTGACGAATCATAACTTCCTTCAAATTTCTATGAATGACAAGTGACCTATCTTGTAGCAGCGGGCCAACAGTACAAAATACGATATAAAGGGTTTGGAGAAAAAAATCTGCGAGGAGGAAAAAATTGAAATTCAGAATTTTCAACATTTTTTCGGTATGCCTCTAAGTCCCGGATATAGATTTTCTTGATCTTCTGCGTATGAACAGCTGGAGCTTTCTGCAAATGCTGCTAATAGGATGCCCAAGCATTACGCTTGCAAAATTAAGCAAACCTTTGGCGATTGACTTTTTCAAAAGAAATTTATGCGCCATATGACAGTACTCTGCGTTGATACCACTGCTT